CACTTAGTGCTCACGGCTCCCTGCTTATGGCCTGGAAAAGCAGCAGCCTTGGGACCTTGCACCCATGTGGGAGACCTGAAAGCAGCTCCTGGGTCCTGGCTTTAGATTGGCTCAGCTCCAGCCATCACAACTATTTGGAGAGTGATTCAGCAGGTAGAAGCTCTCTCCTTCTCTCTGTAGCTCTTTCAAGTAAATGTAAGTAAATCTTTTTTAAAATAGGGCTGATTCAGAGAGGACGTGTGAGCATGTCAGGTTTTTTTCATTCAGAGTTTCCTATAGTTACTCACGTGGGCAGGTCATAGCACATATCAGAATACTGCTCTCAGAGGATATGGTCTCCAAATGGAGACGAACAAGGCAGCTGCTTTGGTAACAGACGGACACAGGTGCTGTTGCTGTGGATGGCGACAACAGGGTACGTGGAGTGACAGCACAATGTCAGAAAAGGCATGTCCAGGGAACTCTGGACCAGATCACCTTGTCTGCACCCTATTTCCTAGCCGGGAAGTCTAGCTCTTCAATGTCTTTAGTGCCCACATGACCCATGGGAGGAAAAGGACAAGGCGCTTCTCTGAGACCTCTTTATAAAGGCGTTAGCTGGGGCTAGTGTGATGCAACAGGCTAATACTGCACTTCTGAGTGCCAGCATCCCATATGGGTGTCGTCTCTTGTCCCGGCTGCCCCACTCCCCATCCATAAGTAGGCCCCTGCTTATGACCTAGGAAATCAGCGGAGAATGACCCTGCTGCCTTTCCATTATAACTAAGTAAATCTTTAAAATATATAAGCGCATTAACCCCACTGATGAGGGCAGAGCCTCCCCCTACCCCACCCCAGCTTCATCAGAACAAGAATTATTGGAGTGAAGAGGGTCCTTCCCCTCTTGTCACAAGAACCCCAGTATCTGGTCCGTGAGAGCCAGGGGTGGCTGGGCTGGAGTTCACCCTGGCAGCCACGGGAGAAGCAGGGAATGGACCCACCCACTGTTCCTGACCCCTGGGGAGCCACCCACAGCCCACCAGCCTACATGGCAGCCTTTCCTCAACAGAGACTGAACCTCTGAATATGCACCTCCACCTGTGATGCACTCACCACCATCCTGCAGGGCTCTGGAGTCTTGGGCTGAATCCTCCCCAGAGAAGCTTCAGGAGCCCCTCTAGCTGCTCTCCTGGAAGCTAAGAGGGTGTGCAGACAGTCTCATCCCAGGTAGCAGAAACCCAGCTTGAGCACAGAGAGAAACTGTGGCTCCCAAAGTAGCCTAACAGAAGAGTTAGATTCAGGTAGTAAATTCTGTGTCTAGGACAGACCACCTCTGCCTCCCTCCTTGCTTCTTCCCCTGGCCCCACCTCTGACACCGCCTCCCTTGTACTGTGAAATAGGTAGCACCTGATTCTTGGTGAAAAGGGGGCGCATCCTCTCGGCCTACAAATAGGCCAGGGAAGAGCCCAGGGCATTCCATCAGCCTGCAATGGCTGCTTAGCCAGGCCTCCACTCCCTGGTGCTGTCCTGGAGCTGCAGTAATTCATGCCAATTGAAACTGAAGTCACTGGGGAAAGATGCCCAGGAGGAACCTGGGATTCTATTAGAAACGGGAGCACAATGTCTGCCAAACAGCATGTCTTGGCGTCCACCCACCGCTCTTCATTACGCATGTGTTGTTCTTAATAATGCCCTCCAGTCGCAGGTGGTCACTGTTACACGGCAACAGCAGGCTTACTGGCTGGAGTCCACCTGAGGCTTTTCCTGCCTCTGAAACCAAACAGGAGCAATGTGGGGAGCAAGGAGGGTGATGGTTAACCAGGGCTGTGGCCTTTGGCTGTTCTCTGGACTAGCAGTGATCTAGCCCTGGAAACTTCTTAGAACTACACATTCCTAGGCATAAACCAGATTGCTGAATTAGAAACTTGAGAGGGGGGCCCAGCAACATGTATTTTAACAAGCCCTTTGGGTAACTACAGTGCACACTGAGGTTTGAGGAGCACTGGGTTAGGGCACTGTTGCTCACACTGTGGCCCATGAACTGGCAGCATGGGCATCAGCTGGGAACTTGTTAGAAATGTAGTCAAACTCTTGCTCCTGGCTCCTGAATACAACTGGCAGATAACCTCGGATGATCTGTTTGCATTTCAAAGTTTAATAAGCGCTGGGTTAGGGGGTCTTATATGTGTGTGTTTGTAAAAGGTTTATTTTAATTATTTGAAAGACAGGGAGAGAGCTCTTCCATCCTCTGGCTTACTCTCCAAATGGCTACACAAGCCAGAGCTGAGCAGAGCTAAAGCTAGGAGCCAGGAGTTTCTTCAGAGTGTCCCCTGTGGGTGCAAGAGTCCAAGTACTTAGGCCATCCTCTACTGCTCTCCCAGGCACATTAGTGGGGAGCTTGATCAGAAGTGGAGCAGCCAGGACTTAAGCTGGTGCCCATATGGGATGCCAGCATTGCAGGCAAAAGCTTAAATTATTAGACCACAATGTGAGCCCCAAGACGTCTTGAAGAGAGCAGAGATGAGTAAAGCTACAATAGCAACAAGTCGCACACAGGACTGCCTATCAGCAGCACTGGGCCCTGTCACTTCTCTTTGGCCCCCAAGTTGAATTCCTCTTAGCTCAGCGGAGAAACGAATCCTGCACTGAGGTTAACCTGAAGCTGGAAAGTGAAAGACTCAGCTGAATATGCCAGAGTGGGGCCTGGAATGCATGGAACAAAGAGTGGTCATGAAGAAAGGCGGCTACTGCACTTTCCAATTATCTTAAGGCAGGTAAAGGAGGAGAAAAAAACTGGACAGGACTTAAATGTTTGATTTCTGGAGAAAACTGTTCTTTCTAGAACACTAGAACTTTCTGGGTCCTGGGGGTGTGCTGTCTTGTCCAGTAGAGGAGCCTCTGAGCGCCAGGTAGCTGGCCAGCACTCACAGCCTTACCAGAGTGTTGGGGACTGCAGAAGTGTTACAGTAGTTCTCACGGGCAAAGCCTTCACCAGCACTCAGGGAAATGTGGCATCCTCCCACAAACCAGTGTCAGCTCTCATCTCTCCAACTCTCACTCCCCCTCTGCAGATAACCAGTCCCTTTCAGTTCTGGTTGATTTTTCCTGTGTTTCTTTGGGATAGGTGGTTAGATACATATGTTTGCCTATATTCCTTCTTTACAACAGGAACCGTGGCTCATTATGGTAACAGTTTGCATTTTGAAGACTGTGTTGACATGCCTTGATTCAGAGATCCTGCCTTCCCTTGCCTGCACAGATCTCCCTGGTATGCAGGGGAACTCAACCCAGCTCTCCTATATGGATTGCAGAGACCCAACAACTTGAGCCATCACTTGCTCTCCCTGAGGGTGTGCAGTAATCAGAACCCTGAGCCAGATGTTGATGCCGAAAACCACATTTAGGTACGTGGGTGTGAGACATGCACTTCTTAACTACAAGGCCCAGTGCCTGCCCTCACCTTCACTTTTGACTGGATTCAGTCACTGATGTTGACCATGTTGCATAATTACTTGGACAGTTTGGTTGATCTCCAAGTGGGTATGTAAACTTCTTCAGCAGCAGCCACCCACCTGCCATTCATACCAGGGTAGCAATTTCCATTTCACTGGCTCTTCCCCAAATCAACTTTCCTGAGCTTTCCTTATCTGGGTGACTCCTTATCCTTGACCCCAATCTTTTCATCTCAGCAGAGATTCGAAGCTAAGAAAGTCTGTCTTGCAACAAGCCATAGTTCTAGAATGCTGATTTTCCCCAAGGACAGTCATTCCTTAGCCCCACTGCTACACCCTTTTGTTGTTTAAAGATTAATCTATTTGAAAGAGTTACAGAGGGAGAGATGTTTTCCACCTACTGACTCACTCCTCAGATGGCTGTGATTTCTTGCGTTGGGCCAGGCCAAAGGCAGGAGCCAGTAGCTTCTTCCTAGTCTCTCATGGGTGGCACGGTAGGGCCTTCCTCTCCTGCTTTTCCTAGGCCATTAGCAGGGAGCTGATCAGAAGTGGAGCAGTCAGGAGGACATGGACTGATGCCTACAAGGATGCCAGCAGTGCAAGAGGTAAGTTAACTAGCGGCATAACTAGGAGCAGATGACCCAAATGCTGGGATCCCTGCTGCGCACAGGCGGGACCTGGATGGAGTTCCTGCTTCTAGCTTTGACCTAGCCGAGTCCTAGCCATTGTAGCAATTTGGGAAAGTAAACAATAGGATGGAAGATTTCTATTTTTCTGTTACTCTGCATTTCAAAATAAACATACTGAAAAATTATTTAGGGCCCAGCATGGTGGCCTAGCAGCTAGAGTCCTTGCCTTGCATGCACCGTTTTCCCATATGGACACTGGTTCTAAATCCTGGCAGCCCCACTTCCCATCCAGTTCCCCGATTGTGGCCTGGGAAGGCAGTCGAGAATGTTCTAAAGTCTTGGGTTCCTGCACCCATGTGGGAGACCCGGATGAAGCCCCAGGCTCCTGGCTTTGGATCAGCACAGCTCAGCCGTTATGGCCACTTGGAGAGTAAATCATTGAATGTTAGATCTTCCTATCTCTCCTCCTCTCTGTATATTCGACTTTGCAGTAAAAATAAACCTTTTAAAAAAATTTAAAGCCCACATTAGGGGTTGGCACTGGGGCATAGTAGGTTAAACCTTTGCCTGTGATGCCAGCAGGTTCTGGTTCATGTCCCAGCTGTTCCACTTCTGATGCAACTCTATGCTATGGCCAGGGAAAGCAGCAGAGGATGGCTCAAGTCCTTGAGCCCCTGCACCCACATGGGAAAAATAGAAGAGGCTCCAAGCCCAGCTCTGGCTGTTGCAACCATCTGAGCAGTGAACCAGTAGATAGATGGAAGATCTCTCTCCGTCTCTCCTCTCTCTGTAAACCTACCTTTTAAATAAAAATTTAAAAATCTTGTTTTCAAATTAAGAGTGCATAGTAAACATTTTTAGGTAAGCAAAACTAAGCAGCAGGTATCTGAAGTAAATAGTGCCTACCTTTGAAAATAATAAAAAGAATCTGGCAACCGTAAAGCTGAAGGAAATTTTATTTACTGACAGGTTAAAAACTGTAACTCCAGGCAGTGCAGAGCACTGCTGAACCCAATACAGAGAACTGGCATTAACACACAACAATGAAGCAATGCTACATTTTTTTTTTTTTTTGGCAAAGTGCTGTATTGTTCAGTCTGTATAAAACCAACCATCTATAAATCAGTATTGAAATTTCTATAAAAACAGGAAAAAGTTTAGACAGTGGCTCAAGAAAACAAGCTGCCATTTATGCATAGATTGATGTACAGTATATGATGTAACCAAACGTCCCTTTTGAGTTTTCAAGTTGATGAAAATAACACATTGAGAAGGCACATAGTACATCCCCACTACTCTTCCCATCTTGGAAACTCTGAAAAGCAAATGTGTTCACAATTTTGCTTGACCAAAAAATATATATATATATTATATAACAATAACAATAAAAACTTTTTTTTTTAAAAAAAAAAACCCTCCACAATGATTGTTTAAAGAACAAACCTCTGGAGGAAAAACAAACAAAACCACCCGTCCTCCCAGCCTGAATGCACACAAACATAACCTCCCCAAGTACTGGTTTGGTTTTCACACGTCCACCTAGACAACAAATACTAATACTTCAGGCTGATACAACGAAAAACCAAGCACTGAACACTTACAGTTTTTAAAAAGAATGTCCTAAGGAAAATTCTCTATGATGTATGGAACCTCGTCCATGGGAGTGACCCTCCTGTCACCAGTACCTCCTCCTGCATGCAGGGTGCTGCCTCAGGGGGTGGATGCCCCAGCCTGTCTGCTCTCCAGCTCCTCTTTCTTGGCCCTTCTCACCATGTCCACTGGTGTCAGATTTTCAAGTGATACCCGTGTGTGGTTGGGCTAACCCCACTGTATGAGTAATGTGTAGGACGTTTAAGTAAAGCATTTAATATAACATTGTAAGCAATAAAGTAAGTAGAGATGGCCATTTGCAATTTGTCAGCAAGGCTGATGGTCACAAAGCCATCATGATAGAAGCCCATCTCTATAAACTGTTGACCCAGTATTGGTGGGCCTTGTGAAATAAAAAGGTAATTGTAAGGTAACACTAGAAACATATACTAGTATCTCCCAGTACTAGGAGCAGTCTCTTAACTGACTCTAAAAGCAAACAAAAAATAATCTTAGAAACACTTTAGCTTTTTTCACCAACCAACTTCAATGTCAACCTTCTAGTTACAGTCCTTTCTTTTTCTTTTCCTCCAGCTCAAGGAAAATAAGAATAAAAATGTACCTTTTCCTTGTTTTATTCTTGAGACGATATAAAGACAATACATTTCCTAGAGACGGACGAGAAAGAGCAAAGAAACTTGGCTTTCGTGCAGACACAGATGACCAACCAGTGTATGCCACAGACGCAAGAAGCCAAAACAAGTGATGCTGAACTTTAGTAAACTGTTCCCAGCACTGATACAGCTGGGGAAGAGTGTAAATGCAGCAGACTGCTTGAGAATTAAAAAAAAAAGTACAGGAAACTGAGGAGGACAAAAGCACCCTGCAATAGGAGTAAAAACATCCCATCACTTTTCATCTTCTGCAAAAAAAAAAGTCTCTAGCCAGCCAAGCATGAAATGCATTGCCACAACAACTAATGGGTGGCTAGCTTCATAGTACATATGCAGGATATAATTCAGTCAGCAGAGAAAGAAAACTAAACATAGCTTTGGCAGACAATGTTTTATTAACAAAACCACAAACTTTCAGAAACAGTGCATTGTAAAAGCTAAGAAACTCATCCACGAGGCACTGCTTGTGTGCCAAATATTCCAGATTTTTTCCAAATAACATTCTATGCCACTAGTCTAGAAACAAGAGCTACTAAATTCAGAGGGTCCTCCTTGTTCTCTGATCCCATTTTCAAGGAATATGCCCTAAAGCACACTGTAAACCACTGATGTTTACAACAGCAAAATGAGTAAACTCAGTGTACTTTGGCCATATTTCAGAGAATACTTAACAAGTCAGCATCATTCTGTATTATTATTGGTCTTATGTCTTTAGATGCCAAAGAAACTTTTCTAGACTGAGAACTTCCAACTGAACTGTTAACCATTTTCTTCAATATGTGCCAAGTTTAGACGAAACCTTAGAAACTCACTTCACAGACACCATAGCAGGGCATCATAAGTGGTCTGGTAACCCTAATCCTGTTGAGAAGTCCCAACAATCAAACACTTGTCTTCTGGGTAAAGGACACAGAAAAGTTGGGCCCTGGGACCAACGAAGAGGCAGTAACTAACAGATGTAAATTGTTTAGTTATCAGGAAATCTTAAAATCATAGCTAAGACCAATGCATTTTATATACAGATCTGTTCTCTCTGCCAAACAAACTCTCATGGCTAAACTTTTGTAGCTGGTGTGGCACTAACCACGCATACACACACAGAGACCCCCACACACTTGGGCTCCCCAGCAGAAGACAGTGAACTGGTCAGTTTTCAAGTCAAAGAATGGCCCTCGAACAGTCGATTTAAAACACACACACAAGCACACACACAGGCCTTCGGGAAAACTTCACCTTGTCTCCCAAATCTGGTAAACAACTGCAAATAAGTAACAAACTACAAAATCTTGACAATCTTGGCCCATAGAAAACAAATAAATAAAGGGGAAGCCCACATGGGGGAAGGGCGAAGGGGGTCCTGCCTCTTGTGTTAAAGAGACATCCTGGCACTTGGGCGCAGCCAGTGGACGAATCTGACACCAGCACAGAAGCAGCCCTCCCTGCCCTGTGGGTACTGAAGTACACGACACTCTGCCTAGGCTCCCTGGCCTAACTCAGGTAGCAAGGGCTCAGAGAAGATGGACAGGTGAGCCATGCCATGCCACTGGGCAGGTGATGCTCCTGGCAGAGGACACCAGTGAGGGTCTGTGGTTCAGCCAGACCCCCGCGGCAGTGGGAAGAGACTGGAGGTAAGGAAGTCCATTTTGCTTCGAGTCAAGGCAACTGGCCTACATGTGAGTGGAACTTTCTGCCCTGGCCACAGTAGCACCAATGCCGTGGGCAACAGCAGTGACAGCGGTGCCCCAGTCCGCCATCACTAGAGTCAGTAGGAAGGCCTCGGAAGTTCGCACAGGTTCAGTTTGAGAGGGCCCAGAGTGATACTTCTCCCCTCTCGGTGGTGGAGGCCCCCCACCCGAGGCCAGAGTGGTTTCAGAGTGTCTGAAGTAAAAACGCAAAATGAATTCTTAAAGTTACCCCGTTACCCCGCTTCAGGTGCTGGGAGAGCCATCGCCAGAAAGCCACCCTGGCCCGTGCCCGAGTTGGGCAGGCAGGGCTTGAGGGCAGAGGGCTGCTCCTCGTCTGCGCAAGTGCACATGAGAAGACTACTCCTTTTCTCAGGCACAAGCACAAAGCTGCACACACACATATATCATGTGCAGTCATGCCAAGTGCCCAAATGACACCCAAGTTCATTGCTCACACGAGGTGGGCAATAGAGCTAGCAGGAAAGAACTAAAAAACAGCTTAAAATATGAGGTGAAGAGGGGTCAGGCTGGGACTTGGGTCTTCCACGTCATTTCGCAAACCTAATATAATCCCTTTGCACAGGAGACCCGTGCCTTTGCCCACGACATCTGCCAATGTCTGTACCACATCACTGGTCAGATAACAATTACTAAAGTACTGCTCACTAAAGCTTAATGTACCTGAATTCCAACACGAACTGCATTACTAATCTGGAAAAAAAAAAAAAAAAAGAAAAAAGAAAACCCCACAAAACCACACACACAGAAATGTATCAAGTTTTCTTTCAAAAGGGAGTCCAGCCATAATTCCACTATATCCGTGGCAACTCGCATTTGTTAATGCTCATGTTAGTGTAAAAATGTATTCATTATATACAGAAAAGATGATCAAGTACTGGTCAATAAAGTGTATGGCTGACCCTGAGAATAAATTTTTGTTTACTCAGAAGATTAATACAAAATAAAACAAAACCAAAAGATGCCTATTCTTATACTTGGGAAGACATGTCTTTAAAATGCTAATTCATGTACACGTCAATAAAGACACCCCCCAACACCAAACACTGTAACTTGTATTGATATGTCAAAAAATATTCTGAAAAAAATCTACAATAAAGTAAATATTAGGAGCAAGGCGTTATGTGGTACCCGGCACATAAACAGGGTTTTCAAAAGTATCCACAACGTGACTGGTCACCACTGGCTGTGAAGAAACAGTGTGCTCATGGCACAAATCCATGTGTGTACACAAATCCAGTGAGACCAACCAAAACTTGAAATTCTTAGTAATTGTACTGACGCGGGCAGGGCTGGTGAACAACCCAGCTATTGTGCTTGACTTGCCGGGAGTGGCAATCCCTGGTAAGATTTTGGCGACGAAGGCTATTTCTGTTCAGAGACTGTTTTTCACTATGTTCTTTCATCCACTGGGAAGGGCGAAAGCTCTTGGATTGTTCCAGAAAAGCTGCATGAGCAGCAAAAGCTGCGACATAGCAGCGGATGTGCTGCTCCATCTCATTCTGAGCTTCCACTCTGAAACAGAAAAAAATAGTGGGGATGCATGCAGTTAGCAGGATTTGGAAATGACACTGACAAAGTCACTTAGCACTTCAGCTCGCCACACCCTTCTTTAAGGCTGAACAAGAGCACTGACTGACTCGGGGTGAGGGTAGGGGTGGGGGCAGTGGCAGAGAAGCCAGCTTGTGGTGCAAATAAGCCACCTACCCCAGCTGGCTCGGACACCCCAGTTCACTTGGACTGTATTTTGATTATAGAGCACAAATTCATACACACTCCTCTGGGGGTGGGATCAACATCACTGAATATCGGTATCAGGGTCTTCCGTCCCACGGAAGAAATCACCCAACACTGGAGAGCGTCCCAGAGGCACTTTATTCAGACCTTCCATTAAAACCGTTATGTCCGTTAATTGCATTATGCAGAAGCCCCTCCCCTGCCAAGCCCCTGGCTTATATGTCAATCCTGTCCAATCAGCTTAAAGATCATCAAGGCACAGCAATCAGGGCAAAGGGCCAATCACGGGGCAGGAAATTGTCAGTGCCCCCAACAATCGGCACCTGATAAACATTTTGCAAATATTACATATTTTAGTTCTCATCAAAATCTTTAAAGAGTATATTCATTCTTAGTTTATACTGATTAGGAAACAAGCCTTCCATCTATATATTTAAGAGAACTAGGCATAAGAAAATTCCACTCACTGAACACTTCTCCACATAAAAATCTACTGCTTATCATGGAAGGCACATCTGTTTTTGTTCACAGCACACCATGCCATATTCTGCATTTTCATTTATGGCAACATTTTAAAGATCCTTGAAGGACAAGTGATCTTAAAATACATACAGTATGGGGGCAGCACTGTGGCTGAATAGGCTAATGCTCCACCTTCAAGTGCTGGCATCCCTCATTGGCACTGGTTCGTGTCCCAGCTGCTCCACTTCTGATTCAACTCTGTGTTGATGACCTGGGAAAGCAGCAGATGGCCCAAGTTATGTAGCCACGTGAGAGACCTGGAAGAAGCTCCAGGCTTCTGGCTTCACATTGGCTCAGCTCTAGCCATTGTGGCCATTTGGGAAGTGAACCAACAGATGAAAGATTCTCTCTCTTGCTCTAAACAGTTCTCCTTATCCATGTAAATCTGTCTTTCCAATCCGTTTTAAAAAAAACAGAGTATGATTATTTTTTTAAAGATTTATTTTTTCTTATTGGAAAGGAGATATACGAGAGAAGGAGATTACAGAATAACTACTGTTCACTCCCCAAGTGGCTGCAATGGAGCCAATCTGAAGCCAGAAGCCAGAAGCATTCTCCAAGTCTCCCAAGTGGATGCAGGGTCCCAAGGCCTTGGGCCATCCTCTACTGCCTTCCCAGGCCACAAGTAGAGAGCTAAAGTGGAGCACCTGGGACACAAACCAGGGCCCACATGGGCTCCCAGCAGATGCAAGGCAAGGATTTAGCCACTAGACTATCGTGCTGAGCCCTATTATGTTTTTCATATGAAAGCTAATCAGACATGAGGGATCCAAACTGCATTCACACATGGCACAAAATGTTCTAAGGCACTTCATGATGATTTTCCACAGGACGAGCAGTTGTTTGCTCTGCCTTAGCATCACTGGAGGAAAACAGTTCTTTCAACATGGACTTGTAGTTGTATAACTACAATAGGCCACACTCAGAGACTACAAAGACAAAGGAGAGTGAGCCTTGAAAAGTAGGCATGAGCCCTGGGTCTTCCTACACAGACTGACAGCACCTGTCACCCAGTCTCACAGGGAAGATACTTACTCTGTATCCATGAGTCTTATAAGCAGCTTTTCCTGGCCCTACAAATGTTAAATGGTGAACTATTAAATCACTAGTAAGATTTTAAAATGCTACTTTAATTTTACTGTTAGGAAGTGGTCAACTCTATTCAAGCTGCCTTACTATGGGTCACTTAAGTCACATACACAAGTTTTACTTGAGACATAATAGTTTATAAACTTCAACAAACAATATCTATAAAGGCTACAATGCAATAAAACACATATGCCAGAGCCCACACTAATTATGAAGCAGCGTACTTTTATGTGCTTTACTGAACTATCCCCGAGGACACACAGGCCAGAAGCATTGTAATCTGTGAAAGATGCAGCTGTTTACAACAGTTATTCACCTGCCTTTGGTACCACCCAATTCCCGTCTTGATTCAGTGAGGTCTGCCTGATAAGAACCTCAAATTTCAGAACAAGAATGCTAATAATCTTTCGGTTACTATTAACAATTGCAATAACAACAGGATTTGTGCGACGAATTCATACAAAGTTCAGTGTATTTTCATCATTTACATATGGAAATTTACCTATCTTATGTTAAATCTACAATATATGAATGCAAAAACAGGATACAATGCTCTGACTACATCAAAATTGTAGATGCATTAACAATCGGGTGCTTTGGAGGCAGTCTGGACAAACTCAGTGAAATACCATAGGTACTACCAGGGACCCCTGAGAATGGGTTGAGTAGTACAAAAACATGTACTGATGCAAAATGGTGCATATCACTGTCGAAAGTAACAAGTAGTAGGAGTCCCACTGAGGTTAGAAATGCATAAGGGGTCAGTGGATGGGCCCAAACAAGGGAACACACTGGACAAGTGGAAGGAGAAGCCATAGGATAGTAACCACACACATTTGGGAGTTGTGGGAATGTCACATCAAAAGTTCACATTTCTACGTATTTGCATTTTCTGCAATGCACAAGTACTGCTTCTGTAAGTGGCTTTGCAAAGCTGTTGACCACATGTATACTCACATACACGCTTAACCTTTGAACAGCAACCAATGCCAGTGTTTCCAGTATTAACTAATCATGCTAAATTCTCATAAAGTTCTCTTAAAGATGCAAAATTTGAGGGAACTGAAGAAACCAAGCTGAAGAACTATAAACAATTCAGCATTACCTCCAAAATGCCGTATTTGTATTTAAAATGTTTGCTGGAATGCTTCTTGACAAATTGAATAAAGTGCCAGTTAAAGTAGCATTTCCCATTAAGCACCTTACCCAGTCCATAGCCTGGGATTATGTAGCTATATGAATGAACTGTCATTTTGGTGCAAACAAAATGAAATAATTTGACCTCCAAAAGATCCTCTACGATGTTGGGACTGGAGAGTGCAACACACTCACAAAGTTAACATATTAATGAGCTGCCTGAGCCTTGTTTGTATTTGGCAAACAGGAAACAGAAGATATGCACAATGGTGTAGTTATTGGAAAGAGGCATTTAGTTGACAGCACTAACCACTGGAATATTTTCATCTATTCCAAAAAATTTCACTTGGACTCCTGAGCCAAGAGGGAATGAAATGGAACCAGTGCCAATATTACCATCCTTCCAACCCGCTCCATGCTAACACCAGGGGGAATATTCCATTGCCATGTGTGACAGACTGTCTGCACTTTGAGGCAAATACCCTGATAAAGGATGTCACTTTAGAGGGAGGAAGCCATCTCAGATATGTTCCCTGGATATGATATCTGGATGAAGGCCAGAAGATGTCTTTTAAGTTTGTTTTGGAGTATTCTGTCTTCACTGACTGGACATCTCCCTGAACGAACCAGGGCCTCCACCCACCTGCCATTCCAACTTCACACTACCATTTCACACTACTGGGACCCCACGTAACAAAACCTCATTTCAATGTGAACTTTTTCCTATACAACTATAAGCAGAAAACAACTATAAGCAACTTTGTTAAAGCTGTCATCTTAGTTTACACTTCAGACATTTTACTTAGGTTTTCAAGTGTAAATACCATTTGATGTAACCTAAGACTATGTGGAAGAAAAGAGTTTAAGACATCATATTCTGCGGGCTGGTATGATGGCTCAACCAGCTAATCTTCACCCTTCAAGGGCCAACATCCTATATGGGTGCTTGTTTGTGTCCTGGCTACTCCACTTCCTGTCCAGCTACCTGCTGATGACCTGTGAAAACAGTGGAGGATGGCCCCAGCCTTTGAAACCCTAGACTCATGGGGGAGATAGGAAAAGGCTCCAGGTTTCTGGCTTCAGATTAGCTGGGCTCTAAATATTGCAGCCATTTGAGAAGTGAAACAGTGGATGGAGGACTTCTATCTCTTCTTTTTGTAAAATCTTCCTTTCCAATAAAATAATCTTTAACAAACCAAAAAGAGACACAATATTTTAGTTGGAATTGATCTCCTAAATAATCCAGGCTATAATGTGCCAGTCACATTCTAAGATACTAAGGAGAAATACCAGGCTTTTATTTCCATTCAGAACAGCTACATGTATGAGAACTCTATTATATAACTGGGATCTTGCTACAACTAACTTTGAAAAATCTAAAATGTGCAAGCTTTTAAAAAAATATTTTAAAAACACATCACTATGCTGAAACTTTTAGAAACTGCCCAACAAAACTGCTTTGCATCTTCTAAAAGCCTAGTTTTCACTTTAAGCAGAAACAAATGAAATGCACCCATAGCAGATTGCCTAGAGAGAAACATGCTGGATGACGCACCTGGGACTACCCGGATCTTGAAATTCCTCGGTCCTGCAGTTGGTCTCACTGAGACCAGGACAGGAGTTGTGCAGAGCATAGACCGACATGCTGGGATGTTCAATGAGCAGGTTTTCCATCGGACTTGTTTCCACTTTGATAGTGGTTAATCCACCTGCGGTGAAACATGGGGGAGGGGTGATAAACCAGCTCTCCTCCATTGGGCAGGACTCAAACTGGAGGAAACAGGAATCAGTTGTGTCAGCCAAGCACTCCACAGATGTAGGCAAACAGGAGAAGACGGAAGGATGCTCAGTAGGTGGCTCTTCAAGGATGTCATCTTCCTCTTCCTCCTCCTCTGCTGGGAAACCAGTGCAGGTATCTGGATGGTGGGCCACGTGCAGCGAAATCCCATGGGAAGGGAATTATCATATCACGAAGTCACCATGGAGACGCCCATCCAAGTCACAGTCAAGAAAAGAGACGATACTGTTAGTGCTCACATTCCTCCCTTGATATGGGTCAGAATCAAAACAATTTCTAGTCACTCAAAACAATCACACAATCATTTCCTAGCACCGTGTGTGTGGCCAAAATGTGGGGAGTACACTGACTTGCTGGAAAGGTTTCAGGGCTCTTCTGCTCTGCTGACTGAACACTGGGGCCCATGGACTACTGCCTGTTGGATAGGAGTTGCTCCTATTCAAGGGCCTCTCAGAGTATCAGGCTCTAAATGCTGCAACAGTGGATAGTCTGACGTCAATCAATTTCACTGACTGATCATCTGGCGCCAAACTCTTTCCTGCAATCTATTTTTAGACATTCCTGTTTACTTACTTCTAAGGCTTAAGACCTTCGGAGGTATTAACTCAGATCTACAAAAACTCAAAGGCAAATGTTGCCACTTTCACTGTGAAAACTAACCATGGGCAGTTCCTTACCTATGAAGTCCACAAGAATCCATTCATCATCCTCTTTCTCACTGAATTCTGGTTCTTGGTTGGAAGATGTAGTGACTTCACCCACAAACATTTTATTCAGCCTCTGGAACATTGTTAAGGCAAGCTTGAGACTTTGGCTGGATGTCTTTATAGTGAGATTTCAAAATTTTGTCTTTAGTCGGAATGGCTCTGAGTAGAAATTAAAGTGCGCAAGGTGCTTATTCAACTTAGGTGAAAAACAGAAAGAACTACTATCCCTAAAAAAAGAAAAAGAAAGAAAAGGTAATATTATGCATCAGCATGGGTATTTTATAAGTAGGTTTGTACACATACATACACCCTTAGAAGCACATGCCTTAACCTACATTCTGTGACCACTTCCTCCCATGCAAGTCAAATACAAGAAATCCAACCTTTTTTACAAGTAATTATGAATCAAGTATTCAAACGTAACCTGTACATATCTGAGTAGAAGTAAGTGGGAAAAAGGTGGGTCTTGTTCACACCTGTACTTCTATATGGGATGAACATGAACAATGATTTCCAACTACAAAACTCTTTCTCGCTATCTATTAGTGTCCTTGGTCTATGATACTCAACCATGTACAAGTCAGGTGAATCCAGCTCTGGGGCCTGGTCACACCACTGGGCCAGGCCCTCCCTGTCCCTTGCTGCATCTCTCTGTGCTGTATTTCTTGGACAGGCCAGTGGTCACACCTATGTACACTACTAGTCTCTAAAAACAGCACACTCTAGTTGGCAGAACAATTCCTGCAGCTGGAATGGAGACATGCAAACTACACGTGAATGTGCTGGGCAACAAGAAACTCTGGAAATCCCACTCCTGTGTCACGGTTTAGTGAGCCATGCTGTAGCTGGCAGGCCCAGGCTCCAGGCCCACCTTGGCTGCAAGGCGCTGCGCCAGTTAGGAAGCTACACATCCTCAGTAGAGTTCCTACCTCAGGGAACTCTGAAGAACTAAAGGTCCAGTTTGATGTATCCATGTCTGCTTGGTTACATAACAAAAGAGCTTTTCATTTCCCCTGATAAACTTGCTCATACATATTGATTACCCTTATCTCCCATAGCAAACAGCAACAACTGCCCTGTCCGGTCACTCAAGCCCTCAACAAGCCCTGTGGACTGGGGCCCAAACCCACCTCCTCCTCCCATCATTCTCACTCAGCCAGCCTGCTGTCGCTCCCAATTTTGCCAAAACCACTTCTTAAACAGTTTCCCTGATGCTCTTGTTAAATGAGAAATGTAGGTCATTAGGACATGCACCTTGCAAGGTACTTGGCACAGTTCTCCATCCAGGTCAACCACAAGTCAGCAAATATTTACTGGGAACCTATCACACACTTAGTTCAGGGAAAAAGGCACTGGGAGAGGCCTTCGCACAGCAAGAGACAGCCTGGCATGGATGTCATGGGAGGAAAAGGACACAGTGTTCCTCACACCAGCTGGGTAGACTGGCAATAAATCACTAATCTTAAGTGGTTGAGAAGCCAAGCGAGAGGGCGCAAGAACACAGGGGAGGAACCAGTACTGTGGCATAGGGGGTTAAACTGCTGCCTAAGAAGCAAGCATCCCATATGGGTGCTGGTTCAAGTCTTGGCTGCTGCACTTTCATTTCACTTCCCCAATGCACCTAGGAAAAGTGCAGATGATAGCCCAAGCACAGGAGACCTGGATAGAGTTACAGCATCCTGGCTTTGTCCTGGACTGAAGAACATTTAAGCTAGAAGTTAAGGGCAGAAAAAGTCAAGCGTGATCCAGGTTTCCAGCCTACCTGGTAGAGGGATGGGGGAATCACTTAAGGGAAAGACTAGGATTGCTGCAGAAAACAGGCCGGACATTGCTGATGGCTCACTGGGCACTCTCCAAGGTGGCACAGCTGAAAATGGCACAGGGGATACAGGGCAGTGGAACGCAGGGTGTGTTCTCAGCTGGAGGAAGATTTGGGAGCTGCCAACCCAGAGTGGGTGACAGAAACCAGAGAGGCCAGGACCACTCAGGGATGGGGAAAGACACCTCAATGGTCAACATCTGTATGAAACATAAGCATCAGCCTTGAGCCCATAACTTCAGCCTCTTGACACCTGGTGTGTCAAACAATCATTTGCTAAGACCCCCTGGTTCAATTCCTTGTGTGCAAACCACAGCTGGCTGGCATGCTGCTGGAGTAAAACATCTCAAATACATGACAGAAGAATACTTCTGTGGCCACAGCTCACCATCCTCAGCCATTAATGATTACAAGCGGGTAAACAGGAAGTGTCACTTGCATAACCAGTCTTCTTGAAACCTTCTGGAAAGCAACATGGCCAAACTGCGGATCTAGGCTGAGCTTCATGCTCCAGGTAAGGGAAGTGAGGAGGAAAGCGGACTGTGCAATTGTATCCTCGGGCTGCAGGGCCACCATAGTCCTTCTCCTTTCCCCCTCCCTCCCAATCTTGTGCAATTCCAGCTCTGATACTAATCAGGGTTTCTGAACCAGGAGGCAAAAAGCAATCTGCAAAACCTTCTCACCACTTTTCTGTCACTGTGGGAGCAGAGAGCAGACTCAAGTGTGATGCTACTCCAGCTGAGCTAGCTAGGAGAACCATGCCAGTCTTCAGAGTACAGGGCAGCCCTCAGGCCCTGCCTCCACTATAGCTACAGTGCCTGGATGGCGAGGGGAGATGCCTCTGCTCTTCTTGTCTTCCCCCTACCTGTTGTTGGGTGAGGCTAAGACACTGGGGCTCAGCCCAGGTGCAAGGCAGAAGAAAATGCTGGGGCCCCTCTGGTGACAGCAGCCAAGTCCACAGAGTGGCAGGTGTGCATGCCTGCATACCATGCAACTGTGTAGGGCACAGGATCCTCCAGAGCAGCTTCTGCAATGCCCCATGGGTTCCCTGGCCAAAGACTGCCTCCTCATGTGCCATGGCCCTGCAAGGACAACCACCGTCAAGCAGGCAGCAGGGAAAGGGACAGACAAGCTGCTCATCCTGCATCTCATTGTTGGCATTCACACTAAGCCCTTGCAGAGGCAGGTGAGGGCAGGGCAGGGTAGAGGAAGCAGCGGGGAAAGAGGGCAGAGTCCCTGGGTAGGAGCACTTGCCTGGGCACCAGAACTTCTGGTACTAAGCCTCAGTCTGCCATCAGAAAAATGCGGAGACTATTTATGTCCTCTCTTTCCCCATGAACTTCTAACCTGATAAAGAGAGCTGAGATTGGTGTGGTATCACTAAGGGGTCAGAAGCAACTGGAAAACCTGACCCACCAGGCACACATAAAATGTGTTTGACTTATATGAATGATAAACTGGATTTTATTTAACTTTAATCCACTTACACTTAAAATTTGATAACTGAGTCAATTTTTGGAAAACCTTCAATCATGTCAGAAATAACCAGGGTGAATAAACCTACTTCTTCCACTGTAAATTTACATGCAAGTACAGATCAAGCATTCCCAATACTAGTCCTGCGGCTGGGCTGAAACTTACTATAAATATAAAATAGATATGGGGCTGTATTTCAAGGCCTCAGGATCCCAGCCCACCCAACAGAATACTTCAGGAGCAATCTTATGTTGAGATTATTTCGGATCTATTAAGTTACAAATATTAATAAAATTAATTTCTCCTGTTCTTTTTCCCTTTTTTTTTTTTTAAAGATTTATTTTTATTATTGTTTCATTGGAAAGGCAGATATACAGAGAGGAGAGACAGAGAGGAAGATCTTCCGTCCAATGATTCACTCCCCAAGTGAGCGCAACGGCCGATACTATGCCGATCCGAAGCCAGGAGCCTCTTCCGGGTCTCCCACGCGGGTGCAGGTTCCCAAAGCTTTGGGCCGTCCTCGACTGCCTTCCCAGGCCACAGGCAGGGAGCTGGAAGGGAAGCGGGGCTGCCGGGATTAGAACCGGCGCCCATATGGGATCCCGGGTGTGCAAGGCGAGGACCTTTAACCACTTGCGCCACCGCGCCGGGCCCTCTTTTTCCCTTTTTAATGTGGCTACCAGGAAAACTTACATGTGGCTTACAATCTCTTATTTTTGCTGAGCAGTGCTAATCTAGAAAAAAAAATCTTCCCAAAATGTTACTGGCACAGGACCCAGCCATTGCTCCACTGGCTAATCCTTCTCCTCTAAGCACTGTGGAGATCCCATATGAACACTTATTTGTGTCCCAGCTGCTCCACTTCCCATCCAGCTCCCTTTTTGCAGCCTAGGAAAGCAAAAGACGGCCCAAAGCCTTGGGACCCTGCTCTCACATGGTAGACCAGGAAGAGACGCCTGGCTTTGGATTGCTTAGCCCAAGCCATTGTGACCACTTGGGGAGTGAACCAATGCATGGAAGATGTTTCCGTTTCTCCTGTTTTTCCAATAAAAATAAATCTTAAAAAAAAAAAAAAAGTAATGGTGTAGACACTGTCTGGGTCTAGTCATTGCTGCTCTGACCTTGTGTCCTGTCCAGTGCTAATAGAGGTTCTCCATGGGGTGTGCTATATGTGCAGCTGAAAGACAAGGCATAGTTTCACACCCATCTCTTCACATGGCCACTGAATTTCTGACCTTCACAACTCCGGGGCAAAGATCATGCTAAAACAAAAGTTCTAGAGGCAGCCTGTGTCCAAAGAGCTCAAGTTTACAAAAGCAGCTCAGGAACTGAACAAAGAGGCAAAGGTTGGGGAGGTAAGTAGGTAGGTGGGTGGGCGGCTGGGTGGAGTAGCTGGGGTTCTAGGAGCCTGCAAGCTTTCAGAGCAGCCAACCCCAGGCCAGCAGGCTCCTGGCTGAAAAAGGAATACAATGTATCTCAGGCCAAACAGTTGAGGAAAGTAGCTTTATGCCTGCTCTCTTAAAATAACCCATCCCACTGATTAAAACCATCCATTTCATTATAAAATCAAAACAGCATTTTGGGACTTTTACCAAACAAATAAGGGGGCCCAGTGTTGGGCCACAGTGGGTAAAACTGCTGCCTGGGACACTGGCATCTCCAAAGGGGCATGAGTTCGAGACCTAGTTTCACTTCTCATCCAGCTCCCTGCTAATGCGCCTGGGGAAAGCAGAAAATGGCCCAAATGCTTGGGTCCTGTACCTACACGGGAGACCTGGAAGCAACTCTGGGCTCCTGGCCTGGCCCAGGTCGGCTGTTGTGGCCATCTGGGCAGTCAACCAGCAGATAGGAAGTGCTATCTCTTCACTCTGTCTCTCCAAGTAGCTCTGACTTCCAATAAATATTAAATCTCTAAAAACAAAACAAAGTTGTTGTGCCACTCCCTTCTTGTCATTTGTTAGCATATTTTCTTCTACGTTTCTTTTTTTTCTTAAAATCACAGTTGTAGTCTAGAGGATGTGTATACATCTCGCTTAAGATTTTATTACTAGTGTTTCTGATGTCACACCAAGAGCAGAAATGTTCTGTGAGTAGAAAAAGCTGGTTGATTTTGATAACATGACCCACCAAAAGCAGTGGGGTGTGGTATCTCAAGGCTGCTCTGCTAACCTGCTTAGTCCAAATCAAGCTCTGCTGCTTGTAACCCTAGAGATAGTAACCACTTGGTGCCTGTTCCATCATTCCGTGCACCAGTGACAGGGTCTGCTGGCCAACAGGATGACTGCGTATAGCACTTACAGGGTCTGACACCTTGAGGCACTCAGGAAAGTTTAACCACAAGCTCATTGCAGGCTGTATTTGGGATTAAATCTCTTCCCTATAGGTTGCATGTAATAACGACAGCTCCAACTGAGTATTCATCCTACTTTGTGGATGAAAAATGAGAAAACGGAGTCCGGGAAAACTTAAGTTGCTTGCTTGAAAGTGAGAGACCAGCTTGGGGTGGAGCCAGCATCACAGAATAAAGCCACCCGATTCCAACCCCTGGCCTCTCCCTGCATACCAATTCGCACTCTCCTCCCCCTCAGTTGTGGGTTCTATAAACTGAACAAGTAGTGCTTTCCAGTTGGTTTTAGCTGCCAGTAGGAGGCTCCAAAAAGCAAAAAAGAAAAAGAAAAAAAAGTACACACTCTGAAGTTCTAACTTGAAAATGTGTGGACAGTTGGGGGCAGTCTGGACACATTAGGTGGTTAAATAGAAAAGCGGCCTCCAGGTTCCCATCTTCTTGGTATCACCCTCTATCTCTAGAAGAGATACCCGCATTGATTCAAGAAGCTTAACATCACTTCTGAACTGCCAAACTGAGCCATGTTGCCTTTGCTTGTTCTGCAGCAACCCAGTCTACTCAACTACTTAACAAGGGAGGTTATTCCCACTAACTTGGTAGTGGCAGTCCTGAAGGCTGAAGGAAGTGCCCCAAAGACTGCAGCAAGTAATCATTTGTTGCCTGTTTACATGGCATTCCGACAGCAGGGTCACTGGAAGAAGTGTGAAGGAGCACAGATGAGCACTAGACAGGGTAAGCCAAAGAGAGACCTTGGACACAGAAGTCAGGAAGGCCCTGGATCCAGGCAGGGCCCCGGGAACTACAGTGAGACTAAAAAGCTCCCCCGTGCTTTTCACACCTGCAAATGAAAAGCCTGTTCAATGACCAAGCACTGCGTGATTTCAGGGTCCTGGGGGCACGCTGAATCACAGTCCCACTCCCCGGCAAAGGACGCCTAAAGTGCTTGGGAGCTAAAGACGCGAAGGGTCTCCTCCAAGTCCTCTGGATTTACTGAGCACAAGGAATCCGGGAACGAAATAAAAACCAAGAGTCCCCCAGTAAAACCCATCTGCAATTTTGATTTTTTAAATCGGCTGTGCGGTCCTGAATACGTTAGTCAATCTCTGGGCCTCAGGATGCCTTTCTATTAAAGAATTGGGCCACTTGCTGGGGGCTTATTGTGAGGGTCGACTAGCACCAGGTAGGTGACAGCCCGGGCACACAGTAAAGGTGCGGTTTAAGAAAATAAGCTGGAAAAGCTGAACAAGCTATCAGGATCTCAATTAGGGCAGATCCCAAACAGAACCACCCCCTCTTGCCCACAGGTGAAACCTCAACTAGTGCTGTGTGCAACCAACTTGATCACGAAACAGGCGCTGGCCGGGCGGTTAGCACAGCAGATTCGCGCAGCCCCATAGCCTCCTGGGCTCCCGCCGGCCATCCGCCTGCACCGTCTCAAGGGTCCGGATTCCCGGTACCCGGAGCCCCCCCAGTCCCGACGCCGCGCCCTGGCTAGACGGGCAGCCCCGTCCCACAGCCGAGTCGGGGGGAGGAGGAGGAGAAAAAGGAGGAGGAAGGTCCGCCGCGGCCAAGAAAGGCCAGGCTTGGGGGAGGAGGCAGAAATCAAACACCCAACCGCCGCCCAGCGCCGGGGCCCGGCCCAGGTCCGCGCCGCCTCCGCTCGCACCCCGGCCGCTAGGGTCGGCCGAGGGTACGGGCGGCAAGAAGCGAGAGGCTTGGAGAGGGCACCACCGGCGGCCCAGGGGCAGGGCGCCCGGTCAGGCCCGGCGGGCTCGGGGACCGGGCTGCGGCGTCGAGGGTCCCTGGACGCCCGCCCCGCCGGCACTTACGTGCGCCCAAGTCCCCAACGCGGGGTACGCGGCGAAGGAAGCGGCTGCCGCCGGCTCGGCAGGGACGGGGTCGTTAGGGCGCGGGGCTGCTGAGGTAGTTTGAGGTCGGGAGAGGCTGCGCCTCGCTGGGTCCGGGTGGCCGGTTCGGGGGGCGGGCCGGCTCTCCAGCCCTCCTTGTCGCTGCGCCCCGAGCCACCGCCGGCCGTTCCGGTCCTTTTGTTGTTGTGCAGCGCTCGCAACAGCTGATCGGCCGCTCCGCCCGCGCCGGTCCGGCCGCCCCGCCCCAGGGCCGCGCCGGAGCCGACCCCGGCCAATCGGCGGCGCCCCGGCCCCCGGGCCGCCCTGCGAGAGGTTGTCACTAACGCACGTGACCTGGCACCGAGCCGGGGAGGTGCTCGTCAGTTAGAAACAAGCCCGGGCAACAAAAGCCGGGAGCGGGAAGAGGAGCCCAGGGGCGCGCGGAAGGGTGGGGCGAGGAGATGCGGGCAGGCCGGAGAGGGGGCGAGGGGCCGAGGGGGGGGTTGCCGGCAAGAGCCCAACGTCCGGGGACCCCTGAGGTGTCGGGGACCCGGAAAACAAGGACCATAAGGACACTTGAGTGTCGTCGGGGGGCGTAGGACCCCCAAACCTCATTCCAGCTAGAGCCGAGGTAACGCCATAGACTTAGGGCTTGAAGGCCGACCCAGTTCGGGGCCTGGGAAGGAGAGGCTGGGGCCCTGTCGTCGTGGGTGATGCCGGCTGGCTCAGAGCAGCAGAGCCCCTCCTGTTGAAGTAACCAACACCGGAGGCTGAGTGGACTTGGCCCAAGGGGCTGTGCCGCCAGACTCTGCCCGAAGTCAGGGAGGTGGAGGAATCATCTAGCGGGGGAGTTAGGAGCCCGTTCCCTACCCCTCCCCCCCAACTCCACATCTTAGCCCTCTTGGGACCCAGGAAGTCATCACTTCTGCGCAAGTACCTGCAAGCTGGGCCTTCTCATGGAGCCTACCACTCACCGGGCTAGTTACAGGAAGAGGAAAATGAATGCTCTAGCAAAACACTTTCCAAACCAAAGCACATGCAGGTGGATGAACTGCCGGGAAAAGGCAGTCTGTTGACCTTATCAGCACTCCTTATCAGTCCTTGTTTGGGTGAGAGATCATTTTCTGACCTAACGTGCAGCGACCCTGGAAGGGCATAGCTTCCGTCCAGTACAGTAACCCGGAAGGCTCCTCATTCTGACACAAGCATCTTGTGGTCAGTCCACTTCCCACAACACTGGCTCTTAAAGACCCGTTCAAGGTATTGTCTGACATTTAACAGTAATGATCCAAAAATGGTGGCCACTTGATTACACATGTCACAAGGTGCTAGAGTCACACAGAATTGAACACGGATCATAGGTTATGGTAAATCTGCCTCATTCTGGGCCCAGCGCGATGGCATAGTTATTAAAGTCCTCCCCCTTGCACTCACCAAAATCCCATATGTGCACCGGTTCTAATCCCGGCAGCTCCACTTCCCGGCTTGTGGCCTGGAAAAGCAGTCAGGACTGCCTGGGACCCTGCATGCGCCCATGTGGGAGACCTGGAGGACGTTCCTGGGTCCTGGCTTTGGATGGGCACAGCATCGGCCATTGCGGTCACTTGGGGAGTGAATCAACGGATGGAAGATCTTCCACTCTGTCTCTCCTCTCTGTATATCTGACTTGCAATAAAAATAAATAAATCTTTTTTAAAAATCTGGCTCATCCTAATACCCTCTTACAGGTCATTGTTGTGTTAAAAGGCCCACAACACCATGTCTCCTCGGGAATCTGAAGAGCTGCTTCCATCCAGAACCCAGCATAATCTCAATGTAAAGGTTCTACAGGCCCATCTTTTTCCTGCTTGGTAATGTTTATCATGGCTAAAGACCATAGAAGCAAGCACCTAGTACCTTCCTGTGATAAAGGAAAGATGTGAGATAGGTTACACTTCCAAAGGTGTCCAGCACAAATCTTATCATGAAGTGAAGTCTGTTTTTCCTTCCCTTGAACCTGGGCTGGCCCTGTGACTGCTTCAGTTGATAGAATCTGGTTTCGATAGAGTGTTCTAAGTTCTCCAAGCCTAGATATGACGAAAGTCTGATAGCTTATGTGGAAAAAGCCAGTCACCACAAAATACCACTGGGCTGCAAGCAGGCCCACCCTGTGCAACAGATCCCTTGTTCAGCCCACCTTGGCTCGGGTACCAGACGCAAGAGCAGAAAGTCTCTTTAAAGTTCAGACACAGCAGACAGTTCACAGGGGCCTGAGGTAAGCCATTCCCACTTAGTCCTGGAAACATTGTAAAATCATGACTTTTTTTTTTTTTTTGCAGGGGTGCTCCCATCTACTGGTTCACTCCCCAAAAGCTTGCATGTTAGAGCTGAAGTGGGGAGCTGGGAATGCAGCTTATGTCTCCCATGTGGGTGGCAGGAACCCAATTATCTGAGTCATCACCACTCTCACCCAGGATTCATGTTAGCATGAAGCTGCAAGTTGCAGCTGGAGCTGGCATGGGAGATGCAGCGTCATGTAAACACTAGGCCAAACGTGTGTTTCAGGCATGAAATGCTGGAGTGCTTCAAAGTGGCCATGGATAACCCAGATACAAAGCTAATAGAAATGGCTGTAACCTCGGGCGTTTGGCACAGTGGTTAACATCCCAGCTGGAATGCCTGTCCTCATACTGGAATGCTTGAGCCCTAACTCCTGCTCCTAATTTCCAGCTTCCAGCTAAGGACTCCAGAGGGTCCTTGGATCACTATCCATGTTGGGGCCCCAGGTTGAATTCCTGGCTTTGGCCTGGCTCAGCCCTGTGCTTGGAAATGTTTCCAGAGTGAACCAGTGTATGGAAGATCTCCGTCTCTGTCTTGCACATAAGTACACACATACTTCTTAAAAGTGCCCGTGACAGATGAACCATCTCTGCACTTAAGTGGAGTTCTCTTGACTGAAAACAATGATCTTATCACAGGAGTCATCTGCCTCTGCTTACTGGCCTGCAGATTTTGAATCTTCCCACCTGGGGCTTGTTTGTCCTGGTGGCTATTAAGGACAGGCTGGGGCAGCTTGGGAGAAATGTGCCCCCACGAGGGAGGAGTATTTTATCATGGACATTGTTTGGGACTGCTGGGGCATGATAATAATAAAGAAGCAAACAAATTTTTTAAAGCAGATCTATTATTGTTTTAAAAGTCTCTTCAAACAAAACAAATACTTGCTACCTATTGCTTGAACCTGGAGTGGCTCCCTCCCTCCTAGGAATGCCACTAGTGTCTGTGTCTGCAGACACACAGTAAAACTCAGGAGTAAATGTCATCCCATTGCACAGAGCTGCCCCCCAACAACCACACTCAAACTACACAATGCAAATCAGCCTGTCAGCTGACAAAGACCCAGCCAGGGACCCTGCCTGGGAAGACCCAGTGAATCCAGTCATTCTCTAATTCACATGTCTAATTCCTCTAATTCTTAGCACGTTGCTATAGTACCCACTTCCACACTGGCCCCCTGCTGTGAGGGTGCTCCCCCCTCTTCCTCCTTCCCCATCTGTCAGAGCCCTCCTGTGTGTTTTCAGTGGAGCTCAATGCACTCCCTTATCTGTCCTAACAAAAGGGATTCAGTCTCACATTTTGTTCTGAAGGATCTCCAGACAGGACCACATTTAAGCCAACAGCCAGATACAATGCAGTTCATGCGCCTGCCTCCTGCTCACCAAGACAGGTCATGATCATCATCATCCTGCCAGCTGTATCAGGGCTGCTGAGGAACACGTCCTACCAAGCCCCAGTTGGAGAGACCTGTAGGATTTTACCTTGAAACAGCAACAAGTTGTCTGGGTGGTTCTGGGGAGAATCCCAAAATGAAGTCCACTTAGGCCATTTTCTATCTATCTGACTTTGACTGGGTACCCAGCATGTTGTCAATTGTCTGGGAAAGACAAGATCTCAATTGCATTTTAGAACAATTACTTAGGATTACAGTGAAATTTACTGTCCTGAGAGAAGGGAAGAAAGGTCCATTTGCAAAAAGCTTGAGATAGATGGATGCATGAGATTTAGCCAGCTCTTCATTCTGAAATAAGAAAGAAAAAAGGAAAGAAAAAATCTAATAGAACTGTCACCTGCCATCTCAGGAAGTAGTCAGAATTTCAAGAGCACCAGAAGCTAAAAGCTTCAGATTAAGTTTTCAACATGCTGCGGCCTTTCTGACATCTACATTTTGGTGGGCTTTTTTCAACCTTATTTCCTCACTGTAAGTAGAAACAAAATCCTTAAAATGACAAGGACCTGTGTACTAGCTGAGGCTCCAGAAAGGAGAAGGGAATTGAACCCCATTTTTCGGTAACCAGTGCTAAGGGTAAGCTCCCTACCCCGAGCCTACAGTTCCTGCCAGGTCTTCACTTCAAGGACATTTTAGTTTTCTGGGTGAATGCACAGACAAAAAGCCAATCATTTACAATGATCTTGATACTTAATCCTTAGAACAGAAAAGCAGTGGATGTGGTCTAGATACATGGTACAGAAAGTCCCCTTTCCCACCTCCACTGCTGCGTGGACTTGCTGTGAGGGACAAAGCCAGCAACTGGCAGACCTGAAACACGGAAGCAAAGATCTCTGTCTCCTGCTGCCAAAGCTCTCTACTCATGCCCACTGCTGCTTCTGGTCCCCTGCCCAACAACCTGTGTGTGTCAGAGACAGCCAAGTTGGGTCTTGAAACTGTGAGAGGAGTTAGACTGGGTAGTAGGCAGTTAGGGTATTCTGGGTCCCCAAGTCATTTTTTTTATATAAAAGGGAATTTGCCCTCCATGTCTTACATTCACCAGAGCCTGTTTCTTCCAAAGGACAAGGGTGCTATTAGCATATCAATTCCCCACGTGAAGTATCAGCAATTACCTCCAGCCATTGTGTGGGAGGGCCTCAGGCTGATCTCTTTATCATTGAAAGGAGGGCAGGAGGAAGTAATACACATATGCCTAAGGCCTGGAATGTCCTAATGTCTGGCACCTCTAGTCTTTCCTGGGGACCAGGAAATTCCTTTGTCCTTGGGAAATCCCCTTCTGAAACAAAGCTTTAAAAGACCACAACAGCCACCATGCATAGGTCCTTTCTATCTCAGAGCCCCTTCCTGTCACTAGGGCAGGAGTCTCCTTTCTCAACTTTTCTAATAAATCTTGCTTTAAACCTAAACTAAAGGGCCCAGCACGGTGGCACAAGTGGTTAAGG